CCTTGGACACAGCAGATGTTTAAAAATGTTTACTGAATTGAAGACTGCCCAAATAAATGATCTCTGGTTAAGTGATCAATTATTTTAAGAAATTATAGTTTAAAATAAAATCTATTTGAATTTGATCAAGTTTTGGATTTTTTTTTAACCTTGCTATCTAAAGAAACTGGTCAGCCAAGATACAAACATACCTTATTCTTCTCCAAGAAAATGTCGCTAAACCCTTTCTTAGACCACACACTATAAAGCAACCTACTAAGTGCTTGATAAATGCTGGCTGATTAACAAGAGCTTATTGTATAAACATTAAAAACTACCTGTACTCTAAATATATCATGGACAAGATGATACCAACAACAAACAAAAAAAACCACCAGCAACTATTAAACCCAAGAAAATTAACTACAAAAAGCTTCTAAGAATATAGTATTTTAAATTTTACCCATGCATGACAGTGATTAGGTTAAGTGACCACTAAAATTACACATGGATAATTAAAGGTATTCCTGCAAAATGAGTGCTATGCACAGTATACGAATCCCAAAACAAGGTTCTGCTGTATACAAAGACCATAACAAAATTACACTGCTATAAAATAAGTTGAAACTAGACTCCATCAATTGGACAGGGACATAATTACTGTAGATACACTTTAGTAGCCAACAAGGTTAGCCACAGTTCTATCTGAAGTATTCTCCTGAATTTGTATACAGTTAAGAAGCGCTAAAAGAACAGTATTAAAGGATGTTAACTTGTCTGTAAAATAAGGTCTTCTTTTGGGGGGCCAGCCGGGATAAAAAGCCAATTTTGTGTTTTGTTGGAAGTGATGTAGTGTAGAAGACATCAAGCTTACATGTATGGCTGGACAAAGGAGAAGGCCAGTGACATATCAGATGGCCAGGCCAGCCCAGAGTGCTGGCTCCCACAGAACACTCAAAGCCCTTGGAATGTGTTCCTAAGTGCCTCAGATACAGTCAGAAGGTTTATGGAAAGTCACAAACAAACATTGCGCAGAAAGAAAATGCAGGGATGACTTCTGATGTAGCATCAGTGGAAGAATGGGATGGAAAAAAAATTATTATAGTAGAATTGTAAAAAAACATAGGGGCAGCTAGCTGGCAAAGTGGATAGAGCACCGGCTCAAATTCAGCCTCAGACACATAACCCTCACTAGCTGTGTGACTCTGGGCAAGTCACTTAACCCCAATTGTCCCCCCCAAAAAAATATATATGTAAAATTAAGCTCATAATTTTCTTACATTCCCGAGACATCTACACACCACCCAGGCTATACTCTAGCATCATCCATCTCAAAGCCCATGTCCCACCCAATCCCATGGGTACAATTTTTGGTTGACTTCACCCCTAGGACCTGGGCTATTGCTTTATCGTGTCTATCTCCAAACCATTTCTGGGCTTTTCCACACCATATCTCCACTCTCCCACCCCCATCTTTTCCAGCTCCCCTTTTTGTGTTATCCTTCCCCAATAGAAAGTAAGCTGCCAGAGGCCTGGGACTGTCATTCCTCCATCTATTTGTCTTACCAGGACTAACACAATACCAGCATATAGTAAGTACTTAATAAATGCTTTTCCTATCTACTATAATGGTGTCCCAAAGATCTTGGTGCAAGTTTAAGCTATTTAAAACTGCACCAAGACCTCTGGGACATACTATATAAGCCTATTCAATTTTAAAATTCTTTTAATAAGATCAAAAACATAAAAGAAACTGAATTTCAAAATGTTCTCTGGGATTTTAAATATGAAACCTTAGGATTTAAACACAAAGGACTACAGATTCTTAACTATTCAAATAGTTAAGTTATACAAGGTAGAAGCAATGATTCCATTAATGCCACTTCTACATTCCAATCAAGACTAAAGTCTGCATTCAAGCTAAATCTTACTTAGAAAAACCAAGCCATTTCAATAAGCATTTGTATTTCAGTCCCAGGGATTTAAATTAAGGTACTGTCCTTTCAGTGAGGCATTATGATTCATGCGGCAGCTCTCCACCACTACTCACACACAAATCACTCCAGAACATGCCTCCAGGAAATAGACCCCACAAGAGGGTGGAGCTTTTCTCATTTTCCACAAAGCCACTGAGTCTTCTAAACCCTCAACATGTTTCAGAGTGCATTTTCAACATGGACTTCCCCTAGCAATAAGAAGAAAGATTAAGGATTGAATCCATAGTGAAATCATTAGTAACTTTTAGTATCACCTATTAGCAACAATTATATCAATCAATGTTACCTCAAAATTTAAATCCTTTTACTTAAGTGTCCCAAGAGGCCAAATTTAGCTAAAGCAATCCCCTTTGTAAGACTGCTCCTTTTAAGGGAGTACAGTGCAAGTCCAAGGGGTTAAGGCAACCAGATAGAGAAACACATTCCTCTTCAATGTAAAAATAACCTTAAATAAAAATAAGTATTTTACATATGAGCCATCAAGTTAGTTAATCCCTAATCATAAGACCCATTTGAGGATGTCACATGCCAGAATAAAGGGAGAGGTGAGAGGACTTAGTGCCAGAGGAAATAATGATCTACATGGCAATTAAGACACTTTTAAATGGTCTGTGCTCTATTACAACTCATTCACCATAATAAAAAACATGTTACTAAAGCATAATACCTAGTTGTCTTTAAACCCAATAAGGAATGCCTTCAAAACCTAGCCACATTTTCCATACACCACAAAATACCCCCTCAGGCTGGAAGATCCTTACTCTACAATTTAAAACACTTTTCTCTGCCAATTAGAAAGGGAAGCTTTTGGTTCCAGTTTAGAGGTTCTCTCCTCGGTCCTTTACTGTCTCTTATCCTCTCAACTACAGAGCTCCAGAATCAACTTTAACTTAGCCCTACTTTGGGCTCAGGAACATAAAATAGGCATCCCTTGAGCTCAAGAATGTTTCTAAAACTGCCCATGTATTTCATGTAAAGGAATCCTTTTGTCTTGCCATGCTGCACTCTTTCATTAACCGGAACATTAATTATCCCAGAAGACTAAGACAGCAACAGATTTCATGAAAACACACATCCAACACTGACATGAGCAAAACTATCACGGTTAAAAATTCCGTTTCACCCAATTGTTCAGAAACATGACACACAGGACTTGGGAAGAAACACGAACCGTATGATAGACCCCGTACTACACCAGAATTAGGCTGAGTTGACTAAAGTATTCTGGAATCAACCTAAAGTTTCCTTGTTTTGGAAGCGCTACACCCTAAAAAGTAAACCATCACTGAGTAATTTAACAAGAACTCTGTGGCCTAACCAATTGCAATAAAGTGTAAAGGAATCCTTGTCTGAAGGTCAACTTAAGTCAAAAAAGTAATAATACTATTGAGTTAATTAAGTTAAAACTGACTCTGCCTTCCCCTCTAAACAATCATTTCTCCCTTCCTGCTCCATGGTTCTAGGCTACACGTTATTTTTAAGAGCCTCATAGAGTCAGTCAGAAGAATTGGACCTTTTTATGGTCTTTCTTCCCCAACGGAAAAGCTATTTTTGTTGCCATTCCATGGACATAGTTACCCTGGTTCTCACTGAAACAGAATGATTACATACAGCAAATTGATTTGTAGGTACGTATTACAACCCAGAAATAATAACTATGATTTTATTATTAAACTTGAAAAGGCACCCAGCTGACAACCAACGATAGCTTTCACAACAAGTGGAGGGAACAAAAAGGAACCAAATCTTTTCTTCCTCTGTAGAGATAAAACTCACGTTCGGGTGAGCAAAGGAACTGGCGGATTTATTATTATTTTTCAAAATGTAAAGTGCCACAGAGAGACCACAAACGGGGTAAATTTCATCTCCAAGCAGCCTCATTACGTGCCAAGTTCGGAAGCCCTTGAATACAAGGAGTGTATTAATGGAAGGGTTGATACCATCGCACTACAGTGGCCTCTCTGTAGTTCAGGACAATGATCTGTTGAGGGTTTTCAGTGTTTCTGAATGTCTAACCTAGACACACAAGCCCCTTTTGAAGGAGACTGGCTCGGAGCTGTATGATTGCTCCGATAGAAAGTCTACATGGGCTTCTGGGTGAGAGGTGTTGTGGTACAGTACAGGCATGGGAAGGCTTAGACTTCAGAGACAAAGGACGGGTGGTGGATGAGTCTGGGAGGGCTGGCTTTAAGCCGGAGTCCACCTGTCCAAAGCGGGTCTGGAGGAAGGAAAGAGGACTGCCCATGACCAATCTCCAGAGCCCAACTGGCTAACAGTAAACCACATCACAAGATATTGAGCAAGACAAGGGCAGATGGGCTTCTGCTGGCCTCCTGAGGCTGGGCACTAAGTGAGAGGAGAGGGGATGAACCCCTCATCTTTCCCCTATTGCCCCTTTATCTCTGCTACCGTGTTATTTGCCTACCCTGAAAGAAAAAAGGAAACTACCTTGGGCGCCTGGGCCAGCTGCGGAAGGCACTGCTTCCTCCACCTATGCCCCTCCAAATGGGCACCCGAGGTTGCTATGCAACCTCTGGCGCCCCCCCCAACATTTCGGCCCCCTCGGGTTTCTTTTTTGCCTCCTCTGCATTTCGCCCTTCTCTCCCTTTCAGAAAAGCTCCACAGCCGGACTCCTTCCGTCTCACACCCCGTCCTGGGCTCCTGATCTCGGCCTCCCTCAGTTTCCCTCAACTTACAAACCTCCCACTTCGGAGCCTTTTTCCCGGCACAATCCACTAACCGAAACTTGCCCCTGGGCGTCCCTCGGCGCCCCCCGCCCACGCCTCTTCCTCCAGCCCCCCGGAGGGTCCCCTCAAAGCCTCCGCCGGGCCTCCTAAACCCCAATGCTCCGGCTCCCCCAAACCTCCCCCTCTGGTGGCCCCCTCGGCGCCCACCCTCCTCCCTCAAGCCCCGCCCTTAGGTTCCCCCCAGATCCTCTCCCACCGCCCTCAGGCCCTTCCCCCGGCCCGCGAAGCCCCCGAGGCGCCCCCCAGGCCCGGCCCCGGCCCCGCTCTCGGCTCTCACCTCCTCCATCTCCTGCACCATGCTCGTCAGCTGCTCCTCGTCCTCCAGCAGCTCGTTCAGCTGCACCAGCGACAGCCCCGCGAAGCGGCCCGCGACCCCCGCCGCCCCCGGCCCGGGCCCCGCCGCCGCCATCGCCGCCATGCCGGCCCCGGCCCCGGCCCCAACCCGGGCCCCGCCGCCGCCGCCGCCGCCGCTCCGAACCGCCGCCTCACGACGACGCCGCCGCCGCCGCCGCTCCCGCCGCCGTCCTCCTCTCTCGCCCCCTCTGCCCGCCCAGGCCGAGGCGCGCGCCCGCCCCCTCCAGGAGCCCCGCCCACCCGCGTCGTGGCACCGCCTCCCGGTGACGTCACCGCGTCGGGCCTGGGGGAGGGGCTCCTCCCCGCTCCCACCAGGAGCTCTGTGGGCCACCGGGACGGCTGAAGTGACGTCAGGCAGTGAGAGAGAGAGCGGGATTCCCACCCACGGGGTCATCGGAATGGGAGCCCCACGGTCTGTAGTGACGTCAGAGGGAGAGCAGGATTCCCCATCCGCCTCCTCCCCCAAACTGGAAGCATTGGACTGGGAGCCCAGGGTCACCGCCGTCACCGTCCTAGAGACCTTGGGCCGTGGTGACGTCAGAGGGAGAGTCAGATTCATGGGCTCACAGGTTTAGAGCTGGAGTCATGGAGGTCTGCGTCCTCCTTTTAACCTATAACGGAGAGTGAGTGATTTGCCCAAGGTCTCACAGCTATTAAATGTCCTGAGACAGGATTTGAAACCAGGTCCAATGCTCTGTCTCCTGTGCCATGGAGATATATGCAATATATATGGAGAGATATATGTATACATATATGTGTGTGTATGTGTATACATATATATGTGTATATGTGTATATGTATGTATATATGGAGATATATGTGCATATATATGATATAAGACATCTAGGGATATTGAAATTGGCACCAGTGGACTATAGTGATGATAATGGGGAGTGTCGTCTAGCCTGGTCCCAAGGCATGGGGACAGGAGAGTGGTCTATATAGTAACATCAGAGGAAAAACTGGATTTCCTCCCACTAGGCACGTTAGAATAAGGACCGATGGATTCTGAGAAAGAGAGAGGGAGAAACAGATTTCTGCCATCCTCTCCAACACCCCATCCAAAAAAAAGGTCTGTAGTGACATCAGGCGAACAGAGGTGAGGAGAATTCATAGACTAACCTGGGGTCCTGGAACTGGAAGGGGCCCTAGAGGTCACGTGGTCCCATTTTAGAGAAGTGCAGGTCAGTGACTTTCCCAAGGTCACAGAGTAAGTGAGCAAAGCTGGATTTGAGCTCAGATCCCCGACTCTAAATCCAGCTCTCTTTCTGTACTGCACTGACTCCCTTCTCCCTTTCTGGTGGCCCAGAGAGAAGAGGTGCTTAGATTGTGAGCTCCTTGAGGGCAGGGACTGTCTTTTGCCTTTCTTTCCCAGCTCTTTGTATCCTGAGCCCTAGACTGGCCGGTTCCTGGAACATAATAGATGCTTCATAAATGTTTATTGATGGAAGTAGGGGACACTAATGTAAGCTCTTTGAGGGTAGGGACCTTCATTTTTGTCTGTTTAACCCAACAGCACAGTGATTTGAACTGAATTGGATAGGATCGGATCAAATCAAATTGGATTGCATTGTTGTGCCACAGGGGAGAAAAGCAGAATTTTCTAGGAAAGCTGTCTCGTTTGGTATTTCCAACACCAGGGGCCATTTTGTTCCCCAAGGTTGCCATGTCGATAAGAACTTTTTGGATGGTCTCCTCGGCAGGCCAAGAAGGGTTCCTGCCCATCAAGAGAAGAAAAGATTATTGATTTAAGGCTAGGAAGGATGTCACACACCCAGCTAATCCAGCCCCCTTCTTTCACAGGTTAGAAAGCTAAAACCCAGAGGCAAAAGTGACAAGCAGAAGCTGAAACCTCAAGCCCTGGGTTTTCAGTGGAAATTCTAGACAGGACCAGTTGGATTTTAAATGGTAGGCACTGAGAAATCCCAGTTTATTCTGCCAATATCTTGTTGGTGCCTAGATTTTTGTAAGTCTCCTCCTTTAGACTGTGAGCTCCTGAAGGGAAAGGCACAATTTTTGCTTTTCTTTGTATTAAGGCAGACTTTAGGGATGCATTTGTAAAAAACAAGCAGTACCTGCCCCTCAGGGAGCTTACATTCTAATAGGGGAGGACACCCCAAATAGGGAAGTGGCCTCTAGGGAGGGGATCTTTGGTCGGAGGGGTCCCAGAGATAGTAAATACATTGGCAGGCTCTTTCCAGAAGCCTGTGGTTTGGTGACTGTGCCCAGAGCAAGATGGCACCACCCTACTCCAGGAAGCCTTCCAGAATCCTCTCCCATTCCTTGATAGGGTTCTTACTCACCTCAAATATTCCCAGAGCCCTTTGCTAGAATGCCTTTCCTTTGTTCCCATCACACCCAACCTTGTGCAACGTATATCTCTCTGGTGGAATGAGACCTAGGACCCTTTCTTTGCCTTTTCTTTTGGATTCCCATGGTAGATGCTTAGTAAGTATTTGTTGAATGAATGAACACCCAGGGCTTTTTGAGACAGTGGGAGGCCCAGGGGCTGGGGCAAAAAGCCTTCTTGGCATCAGGGGAAATCTGGGTTTGAATCCCAGATCTAACAATTAGTTCTGTGAGTAGGGGGCAAATCATTAACTTCTCTGAACCTCAGTTTCTTCATCTGTAAAATGGTTGCAGTACTACCTCGTAAAGAAAGTACTTTGTAAATCTCAGGGGGCTTCAGATATCTGAGTTGTTATCAAGATTCAGTGAAAAGTTGAAATAGGAAGAGCTCACCACTAGCTGAGGGCAGAGGGGAGATGTTATGGGAGAACTATCTCCTCGGCTTTCATCTGGTAAGTTCCTGCTGCCAGAAAAAAAAAAATCTGCTACAATGCAGAAATTATAGAGGGAAAGACCTAGGGTTTTTTGTGCTTATAAGCATAGATTCAGCCTTCATAAAAACCCAGATTGGAGTTTCTGACACTCTTTTATGGAGAAAATTAAGTCAGAGAAATCAGTTCTTTTACCAGTTGCAATCTCATACATTCTTTTTGGCTAAAAATATTAAAAAAGACAGATTCATGCTCTCATGCTTCCTTCAGTGTCACAAAAGTTGAACAGTTAAACAGAATCATGATCAAATACATCCCTCAAGGAAACAAACCTAATGAAACAAACTATATAGGTAAGCTAAGTCAGGTTATAGATTAACTACATTTAGATGGGTCACAATGGGCTGATTGAGAGGGGAGATTTACATGCCTACAGAGTCAGCATAACCAGATCACCTTGGGAAGCTCAAACTCTCCTTCAGCTTCTTGAGTGAGGAATGTTAAAAAATCTGCCTTTAATTCTAAAATTCCATAAGTCAGGTTTTAGCCAAGAGAGGTTAATATTACCAGGAAACAGTCAGCTAAATATCTGTGAGAAATACTGTAATGAAATGTAATAAAAGGAAAACGAAAGATTTACATCACAGATGATAGATTCGATTCTAGAGAGTGGAGGGGGTAGGGTCCCTAATTCTAACCCAGTCCTCCCATTGCACTGAGGAAATACCAGAGGCCCAGGGATTGTGATTGTCCAAGGTTGCCAGGGTAAGGAAAGGGGATAGAGCCACTGAGGAGACCACCAGACACTTGGGCCTTGAAAGAAGGGGAAGACTTTAACAAATGGAGAAGGGGAGAGTCTGCTATAGTCACCAACAAGGTTTTTACCTTTCATTTTTTTTTTTTAGGCAATCGGGAATAAGTGACTTACCCAGGGTCACACAGCTAGTAAGTGTCTGAGGCTAGCTTTGTGTTCCTGATTTCAAGGCCCGTATTTCTATCCACTGTGCCATCTATCTGCTCCATTCTTTCATTCTTATCTAATTATTCCCCAGCTAGATTGTAAATTCCTGGAGGTGAGGGTCCAGAAGCATCAGGGCCCAGTACGTCCTAGGTACTCAATTAAAAACATGTGTTGATTGATGGGTCCCATGTAGAGATGCTTCCTCGCATACACCATCAGAGGGAGGGTAGTGTAATGGATAGAGCATTAGATTTGGGAAGTATGGGTTCAAATCCTAGCTCAGATACTTTATTGGGCTGCATGACCTTTCTCTAACCCTTAGTTTCCTCATGTGTAAAATGGAGGATAACAATAGCACCTACTTTTCAGGATTGTTATGAGGATCAGATATATGTAAAGAATTATATAAATGTAAGCTATTTAGTATTAGAACGTGGAGTTTGGCTTTCTTCTCCACTAGTAGGAATGGAGTGGGCTAAGTCACATTTTTGCTTTTCACCAACAGTACACTTTTGTCTTAGAGCAGCAACCATGGTCCCACCTGTGCCTCCAAACCTGTGGTTTGCGTGTCATATGAACTGACAGTGTTTTTTCTTTTTTTTTTTTAATTATTATTAATTTTTATTCTGAACCTAACAAACATGAATTAGAATGGACATTTGCTTAAGCATAACAGGACCGGAAAAGAAGATTGTACAAGCAACAACAGATCCTTTTTCTGTACGTTTCTTTTGTTGTGAAATCGATAAGTTCAAATGTCGCTTTCAAAGCTGTCCAGTTTGTGCCTCTTTCTGGGAATTCCTGTTCTTTTTGCTCCATTAACAAAAAGGACCTTCTTCTCTTTTCACTTCCTTATTCCTATTTCCCACTTTCCCTCCCAACCTGTCCCCCAAAGGAAAAAAAAAGGCAGAAAGAAAAACAAAGGCCTTCTAATGAATATATGTAGTTAAGGAAAACAAATTGCCACTTTGGCCAAGACCCATGTGTATTCCAAGCTCTAAGTAGGCTTGGACTTTTCCCTGGTAAGTTAGATGCCTGGGGTTAAAGGAGGAATGGAAGGGACTATGGGTAAATGAAGGAGGTGATTCCAGAACCTTAGAGGATGCCGAGTCTGACTAAAACCTAAACAAGAGTCACCCCTCAGGGTAGCCCTCTCCTCCACCCCTGATGCAATGTGCCAGATGAGTGACTTCCCCTCACTTGGTTAGGAGTTTCGCCCAGTGTCTACCCTAAATCTGCCATTCCACTATTCCCACCCATAGCTCTCAATCCTCATCTCTGGAGCCAAGAAAAAAAAAAACCAACAAAAAATGATTCTTT